CCCACCACCGCCGCCGATATCAGAAACCGAGCATCCACCTCATGTACCACCAGTTCCACCACCACCCTCCGGTCCACGCCAGGACTGGAGCGAGTCTGTCCGTAAGTATTCATATACTATAATTTTTCACATAAGCGTTCTTTTCCGCTCTGTGCTTAAAAAATATCTTTTTGTACGTCTTCAAAAACCATGATTGTTGCTACTTACGCCTTCGACAACTGTTTAATATCGTCGTCGTTATTTTTTCATCAATTCGAAACGCCAAACGATATCTGTCGCACCCATTTTAGGGTAACACAAGAGAGACGGAATAGAGTTTCAAGTTCCTGGCTTCTTGAGAATCTTTTCTCTTCATTGTTTCCTGAATGTGGTCAGAACCGCATAGTGAATAAACTATCGAGAATTTGTTTGTTGGAAGAATGGCTTTGAGACTAACGGTTACTTTCAACCTTATTGTCATAGAATCTTTTCAGCGTATGGATGTCCGTTTGGTTTGTTCCATTATTGTCTTCACCCTTCAATTTGTCTATTCGATTTCTGACCACTAATGGACTATTATCCTTTATACAGACGTTTGCAGACCTTGTGCAGGTCTAACAACTCAGATCCCAACCCGATAGTTTTCTCATGGAAACAAAATCAGTAAATATTTGGTTTCTTTTCCTGAGTACATCTAAAATGCTCAACAAAATTTTCAAACATTTCTATATTTTCAGCAACCAAATGGGGCCCACGATCAGACAATTTCGTCCCTCACCCTGCGCCAAACGGTTCAAGTAGTCGCCCACAGGTGCACCATCAATATCAAGAACGAGAACCGTTTAGCAATCATTCACACGAACCTTTTAATTCGAACCAGCAACCTCATCTCTCAGTGCGACATGCAGATGACTATAATCGACCAGGGCACCAAGAGGATAGAGACTATCGGGACTTTGACGACCGCGAACCACCATCACGACCCGCTAATGAATATTTCAATCGACCTGGACAACATTCAAACAATTACAATTCAACCAAGCATCCTCCGGATCAATCGCATGCTGCGAGAAGAGGCGATCTACCGCCAATGGGTGATCTCCATGGTCGACACTTTCCACCTCCGCCACAATCATCATTTGAACATCATCATTCATATGAACATCGACCCCCTGAGCCGTACCCACCCAGAGAACCACAATATACTTATCCACCGCCACCTCGTCCGGACAACTGGAGCAAGCCGTGGGCGGAACCCAGCCATAGACCCGGAGATTTTGGTTACATGCCGCCGGGGCGTAACGCCCCACCTCCACCGGCCAGACCTCCGAACCGCTTCCCTCCTCCACCGCCAGCGGGTCACGATATGTATCGATCACCAGAAGCCCCACCCATTCACGATGCTGGTTATTTTCCACCGCAAAAACGACCGGCTCCACTCCCTCCAATGCATCCTGAACACTCGGGAAAATATCCTCGTCCCGAGCCCTCTTGGAATGGACCGAAACCTTGGTGAATTGAACTAGCAAATTATTTCTGTATATAGCACAAGATGTGAGGCGTTTTTCACGTTTGCCTTTTTGTGATAAATCCTTGTGTTTTAACTCTATCGTAGTCTCGTTTTTCTCATCTAGTGCGAATCAGTTATACCAACCGGAGCGTAACTATCAATCTCAAATAAAAGATGTCCATAGTTATTTTGGAATCGTGCCAATTGGACGTTTGTGCTAAATGTAGCTGGCAACCGACCCTAGATGCAAGCTATTGTGGTTCGACCNCTTTGAAAAGGTAGCTGTAGCCGCTCTGGGATGGAGGAAACCACGTGGAGGTCAACAGTTGACGTGGAGACGAGGCATGAATAAATGCACAGAGACATTAGGTAGAGTAGGTCTCTCAGGCCTTCCAGGTTGGGGTCCAAAAGAATCCACAACCGGTTGGTTGGAGAAGGGTATGGCAGCGAACCGACAGCATTGGCGTTCTTGTTGTCATTTCTTATCAGGCCAGAATGCTTGAAACGATGTGTGCAGAGTTCGATTGTGTTCTCTGTGTGTTGACCATAAAGGTTCACCTGCTCCCTCCGTCAAAATAGGTTCAAGCCCTGTTAACCTTGAATATTACCACTAACCTTGTATGCACTACGAGTTTGGCAGCGATCAGTGAAGTTCGCTTCACTGTATTTCGCTGTACGATGATGATGGTAGCCCATAAAGAGAGGAAGATGGAGTATAAATGAATAATAAGTACGGAAATTGGCGTACTTGTCAATCAATGATATACACAGCGGGGATTTAATATTGACTCGAAATTCATTCATGTGCGAAACGCACTCATGGTCTAAACAAGAAAAGAACCGTTCCATGACAGGATGCACATAAGTGACAGTTTGACCTCACCCATAGCACAGAACAGGATTCTTCACGCATGGTCTAAGCAGTGGCATTCACGAACGGAGCGATTCGTGCTACCAGCATTATTTATTGAAAAATATGATACAATTATGTTGGGTAACGGTAACAGCAAGCCTAGGATGACAAACAAACCAAGGAGTGATTTAAAGATAAAAACATCCGAGATTTCGAATGCAATTTTAGATGGAAGACTGAGCAGAGGATAGGAGTGTAACGGAGTAAACAGCACTGACCAATTCACATAAAAGAAACCTGTGTAACACAGCTGTCTTGGTTTAGTTTATGTCATCAAAAGTACATCATTACGCAAACGATAAAGAAAACGTTAGCCAAGAGGGTGCTGTAAAACGTGAAAAACCACGCGTGAATGAAGGCGTTTGTATAAAAAAAGGCGTCCATAATTGTGGTTTAACAGGCACCAGAAGTTCCTATATGTATTCATATTATTACTTCTCCGCTCAGTTCTCTTAAGGTGCGGTCTCCTGACCCACCAAATAAGGCCATTACTACTTGCCTACTCTTACGAGTTGGGTAAACTGAGGAATGCTACCTCACGGACACGTTGGGAATCCTGGATTGGCGCAGAGCCATCCGAAAGGCGTATGTATGAACCGTTCTAACGGTCACCGGCTACCAACAATTCTACCCTGCAGGTCGCACTTGGTTGTGCAAGGGTTAGTGGTGCACCCTCGAATAAAAGCCGAGCGACGCTGGGGACGTCACTTAATATCCCATTCCCAACTTTCTTCATGGATCGTTTTACAATGTGCATCACGTTCATGCTACGGTGTTCTCTGGAAGCGACGCGCTCTCCCAGTGGCTGGAGTGACAAATGAGCAAGCTGGGGATCTAAATCATCTATGCACCAGATCCAGCATCCATGTAGCCTGCTGGAATGTTAGAACATTGCTAGACACAGGAATCCAGTGTATCACGATGTGACCACTGCACGACTACTAGTTAGACATCTGTTGTCTGTCCGAAGTCCGACTACCTAACTGTGGCACAAAACTAATCAACGTACCACATAGCAACGCAACCTACCGGTTGTACCGCAGCGACCCAACTGACAACTCCGGTCTGTACGGGGTAGCAATCGCCGTGAACGGCCGGGCCAACAATGTCAAGATCTCCTGGGAACTAATCTCTTCCAGGATTGCCATAGCGCGCTTCAGAGGAAAGCCGTTTAATCTGACAGTCATTGCTGTATATGGTCCAACGTTACATGCGGAAGAGCCCATCAACGATGACTTCTACAACCAAGTTCACGACAGTGAACCGCAGTCCGAGGCGCGACATCCTCGTTATTGCAGGGGACTGGAACGCACGCACTGATTCATCAGACGAACGTACTCAGCATGTTCTGAGAAAGTTCAGCCTTGGTCAACGTTGCGAAAATGGCGAACGCCTAGTCACATTTGCTGACCTTAACCGGCTGGTAGTGGCCAACACTCGTTTTCAGCACCCCAGAAAACGTGGTACTCAAACGATGATCGAACGACACACCAGATTGATTATATTTTGGTACGTGCTCGCTGGGCCTCTTCGGTAGAAGACTGCCGTTCCTATCGCGGCATAGAAACTGGAAAGAGGAACAGTACAGACCATACCCTTGTACGCACTCGCTTCAATATCCACCTGACTACTCGCTGTTCAACCGACCATCAAACCAAGCTGGCTCTCTACAGATGTCAAACAGTTCGAAGACTTGCGACATCAATTGTGACCCACCTAGCACGACAGAAATCATCAATACAGTCACTTCTCTGGAAAGCAGAAAGGCCCCTGGAGAAGATGGGATACAACCAGAATTATTTAACGCTTGCTTACCGACTCTGATCGATCCGCTGCACTCTCTTTTCCTTTTCATTTGGGAAAGAGAAGTTTTTCTATAAAACTGGGTGGGTTCAATTTTTGTCCCGGTCCCAAAAATGGGCGACAGATCTAGATGCGAAAATTACAGGAGTATTAGCCTGTTTGATATTGCGGCCAAATTGTTTGCAGTGATATTGCTTAATCGCTTCGCAGTCGTCAGGGTGTAATGATTATAGTAGTAGTAGTAGTAGTATGCACGGAATTCGGAACACGACCCACGCAATAAGAATCACAGAACACAAATCAAAGATCACATGCTGTAGCCTTCGCACCGTGCCGTGGATGGCGTTGCCGACTCGGTGGTCAACTGAAAACCTGGAGTAGCGCGATCAAGGCGGATTTGGAATTACTGGGTCTTCAATCCTTATATCGCAACTGGAACCAAAACTGGGTTTCTCACTGCGTCAACCTTGCTACAGATCGTCATGCATGGGAAGACATCCAAGAAGCCGACTTATCCTCCCGCGGGACTTAGTCGATCAAAAGTAAAAGTAAGTCTCCTGACCCCCTCCCTTCTCGTGGAGCGTAACCGGTGTTTCGTTCTGACGAACTCAATAGCGAGGCGGAAATGGATTGAAGGAATCAAAAGTTTGCTGCATCCCGTCATTGTCAACCGATATAAAATCCGTATTCAATTTCGAGCTTTTTAATCGACACCCATAAGTGACGTTATTGTCATTCGATGATTCCAAACGTACAGTATAACATTTTCCTCGGAGATATGTAACAAATAATCTTCATTGCCGCTGTGATCCTTTTTCCGGAGGAATATTTACATAAACTGGGTCAACACAGTGACGTAATTCCTGCAGTCGAATCTGATAGATCAACGCCAAAGTTTTCAGTTTTTTAGAATAAAATAAATCCTATAAAATTGAAAAACGTTTAACAAACCTGGAGTTTAGTTTTTTCATAACTTTCCCTCTCTGTAGCCATGCTACTTGATTTTGATCACTCAATGGTTCAAACTGACGGTGTTCTTTGCGGACAGGTCGGTGGTCTATGGTTCATATTTCACCAGCTTTGTGCACATTCCCTTTGCAGCTCTTGTTAAATGTTTCCTTGAGGTCGTTGGCCTCATTCGCTAGATTACATTGTACAAACGACAAGTGCAGAAAACATCAGTTCCCGAAACCAAATTACCAGCAAAACCCGGCTATCCTATGTATATCGAAAACACTGTACGTGGGGCATTCGTATTAACGTAATCTACTGCGAATAAATACATTTTTGAATCAAGACCGAAAGAAGACATATGTCGCGAGATGTTAACATTTCGTTTGATCTTCTCAATCGCTGACGTAAAACAAACAAGCACATTGAAATTGTAAATCATAGAGAACGGACATGTACAGTTAGACAGGGGCTATTAGAATTTTAAAAAGTATAAGTCAACTCCACGGCAAGTGAATTGATTGGATTAACAACTTTTGGGCATACAGAACGGGGTTATGTAATCGGATCAGTACGGCCTCACTTATTGCCAACAGTTTTGCACTGTGGTTACGTAACAACGGCTTGAAAGAGGAAGCGGGATCAACTGTGTTTGGTTGTCATGAGGTGTTTTGCAATTGATGACCCCGGGTTACGTGTGACCATCTGATTACTAAACATAGGTTGCTTCATTGACTTCACTAACCACTTTGGAATGTGTTCGGCCATCCGCTGTGATAATTGACGGTTGGTTCTGCCTATGTATGAGTCACCGCAACTGCAGGTGAACTGGTATACAGTGTGTGAGATAGAACCGGACTGCCAAACATGCACACGTTTGTCCAAATCAATTTCACGAGTAGAGGTGATAAGTCGGAGTTGAGCAGCTGGGAATGTGCGGCTGAGAGCTGACTTAAACTTTTGACGCACATCGTTCAGGTGATCGTCCTTGAAAGATAGTTTGATGTAAACGGCTTTCTGGGGAACAGTTGGTGATGGGTTACCCTTTTGGGATTGTTTACCATGGAAATCAATGAATCCTTCGGGGTAACCGTTTCGAAGCAATGTTTGCTTCAGGAATTCTTCCTCATCTCGTAGTGTATCTGGGGAACAAATGCTTGTGGCTCGATGAAACAGAGTTTTTACGAGTCCACGTTTGTAAGCCATGGGTGAGAAACCAGAGAACTGTAAATATTGGCCACTCCATGTTGCTTTTCTGTGGATAGAGCGCCGTAATGTACCATCTGAGCGCTTCGTAATTCTGATATCCAAAAATGATAAAGGATCGTCATTTTCTTGT